GCCCTTTATAGATGGTGATTGGCACAATTTGTGGTACCACCATTAGTATTAACTATAGTCACCCAGTCAAGTCCCTTCCCGGGAGCCAAGTGGACTCAGGTTATATGGAAGCTACTAAAGGTGAATCCAGAGACTGCACAGGAGAGTCTCAGAGACTCCTTATGTGGCACTAGGCCTCCCCCAGATTTCTCAAAGCTGCACCTCACACTGCACACTTGCAAACAAAAAGATGCCCTGGTTAGGAAACTCACACATCCACTGTTTCTTGCACGCATATCCACTCATATACTCATTGTCTCTTGTTCTCCATGAATTGCCTCTTAAAATAGCAACAAGGAAGCAAGTTATAAAGTTAGATAATTTATTACTAGTTTTTCTTGTTGTTTGAGATAGTCCTGTAGTGTTATGAACTACACTCTAAGGATTGCTCTCACAGTTTCCCAAAGATTTTGGATTGTTGTGTTTCCATTGTCATTTGTCTTCAGAATGTTTTTTTTTTTTTTATTTCTTCTTTGATCGCTTTGGTACCCCATTCATTGTTTCATAACATGCTATTTGGCCTCAAGTGTTTGATTTTTTTAATTTTTATTGTAGTTTATTTCTAATATTATGCCATTGTGATCTGAGAAGATGCTTGGTATGATTTCAATCTTCTTGAATTTGAAGAGACTTTGTCTGTGTCCAAATATGTGGTCTATCTTTGAAAATGTCTCATCTGCACTTGAGAAAATATCTATTCTGAAGCTTTGGGGTGTAATGTTCTGAAGATGTCTATTAAGTCCATCTAATCTATTGAGTCATTTGGGATTGCTGTTTCTTTGCTGATTTCTTGCCTAGAGGATTTACTGAGTGATGTCAATGGGGTATTAAAATCCCCTACAAATATTGTATTGCTATTTATCTCTTCCTTGATATCTTCCATAATTTTTAATGTATTTGGGTGCTCTTGCATTAGATGCATATATATTTATCAGAGTTATATGCTCTTTACGTACTGATATTTTTAGTATTACGAAGTGGCCTGTAGAAAGATGCAGGAGAGAAAATTGTGAAACAAATTAATATAGAAAGGTGTAAAATTATAGATGCCTTTGACAGTTACCAATCTTGACAACCAAGAAAAATCAACCCTCACAAATTCACAAATCGAGTAAGTAAAAGTGCAAGAGGTTCATGTTCAGGAATCAGGAAGATTCATCCTAAACTAAGAACAGAGTGTGAACCTGGAGCCAGTGGAGTAAGTGTTGTGGGAGATTGGGTTGTCTGTATGGGTCCCTGGGCACCAGAAGCATGAACTATAGAGACACAGACAGAGCTACTGGGTCCTATTTCTTCAAAGGTTTTTGGTGCTGAAGGTATAGCAGCTGCACTGCCTCGCCTGTATTTATTCTCTAGTGTCTGTTGTAGATTCAATTTCAGATTCAGTTTCATTGGGAAATAGAAGAATATCTGTCATATGTGTTTAGTGGAAGATGTGGGTAATGATTTAGGAATAATTAAGTTTGAGGTTATGAAAGTCTTTCTATTGGAAATTGGTGTCTGCATGTGACCTTGGAACCACTATTACCATGTCCTCACATGATGGAGTCAACTATAACCTGCACCAAGTTACAATGCCACATTGGGGGGAATCTACCTAGAAACATGTTGGAGGATTAACAAGACTAAGGACACACACGTCCAAGGTTCTTGCTTCATTAGGTTGTCATCTCCTTGTTGTTAAGCTCATTCAAGTTTTCTTTCATCTCTTTCCTCTGAAACAGCCCCACATATTTCCTAGAGTTATGAAGGCACTTTATTGTGTTGCAGAAAGACCAGAGAAAAATCAAGCCATGTTTAGAGAAAGGTAGTTACATTTTATTATGCACAGGCACAGAGAAAAATGTGTCTTTCAAATGCTGGACACCCAATATGTAGGCAACTCTTTTTATTGTATTTATACTTTTTCTAGTTCTTTGTCTCCCAAATTTGAAATGAGACTTCCAGACTTTCTCAGAAAGAAGGCCTGCATGCTGGGGAGGGGCCATGAGACCATATCTCAAGGCCTGGCAGATGCCAGCACAGACAACTCTGTCTAGGGCAGAGTTTATGGTCTCTCTGGAATTGTAGTAGTCTTATTTTCCTTATTATTTAAGCAAGCAAGTGTTTACAGAAGCCAAAATAGCAGTGTGAAAATTTCAAACAGCAGTTTTTATATAAGATGGATGCTTCAGTTGAGCTAGTGCAGGGGCACAAGACATTTGTGTGTAGATTTTTTACATTATGTCTTTTCTGAGTTCACTTCCTAGTTCTTTCAGTTATCTGGTGCAGTTTTTAAGGTTTTCTTTAAATAAGATTGTGTCATTTGTATACTTATAGAAAGGGGCATTTTAACTTGTTTTTTTCTCATATTGATAGTTTCTATGTTTTTCTTGCCTAATTTTTCAGACAAACACTTGTATTTTTTTATAATAAATGTATTCATGTGTTGGTCCTGATATTAGAAGAATAATGTTCAATGTTTTCTGTCTGTTATTATGATACTTGTAGGTTTATCAAATGTGGCCTTTGTTATTTTGAGCACATACCTTGTATAACTACCCTGTTTGCCTGAAAATAAGACAGTGTCTTATATTAATTTTTTCTCCCAAAGTTGCGCTAGATCTTATTCTCAGGGGATGTCTTATCTTTCCATGGGCTAAGTTTTATTTTCGGAGGATGTCTTATTTTCGGGGAAACATGGTATTTATTTTTACTATTTAGTAATGAAATGTTTTTGGATTTCTTTTTCTTTTTTATTTCTATTTATATGCAATATTTTTTGTTCTTCGTTCTAAGGGCGAAGTGTATCTCAGTTATTAGTTACATACCTTGAGCCATTCTTGCTTTTTAAGATGATATCTCACTTCATGATAAAAGAGCTTTTCAATGTGCTGTTAAATTTTCTCACATATTGTAAACTTTGGAACTTTGTTAGTGGAGGATGCTAGCTAGACTGGTTTTGAGACACAGGATAGATATATGGTTGATTTTAATAAAAAGAGTGTTACTAGACATATGGCCTTAAAGCCTCCTGCAGTGAAGGCCCAGAAGAAAATATAGGTAATTATAGGTAGAATTTATATAATCTTTGAAAATACCTACATAACTATGAATAGAAGGTAGTTAGAAAGAAAAACATTAAAATCATGCAGATAGGGATCAAGAGTAATAAGGAGCATGTCATTGCAAACTGTTGAGAAGGGAACTCCTTGTTATGTACATGCACATTCTCATAGCATCTCTGTTCTAGAAGGTAACATCTTCCCCGGTCCAGGGACTAGAACTAGAATACCTTTGAGATCATTATAATTCTAGTCTCAGCATGAATTTCTGAAACTTCATAATTCATTGGGGTTCCCACTATAAAAATCTGTCCATACTTAAAGGGAAGGGCGGACACTCCTCACAGGAGGAGCCATGGTGATGATGTGTCTAAATGAGGAGTCAACATTTCATTGGACAAAGGCCCATGCCTCAGTCCATCCTGGCCATAATCATTTCAATTTGCTTACTTTAATTTTCTTTTTATTTCCTGTAAACATGGTGGATGTCCATACACAATGATTTTTTATTGCAAAATAAAGCTGGCATCTACACTTCAGATAACATTGGGAGATTGAATTCCCATAGATCCAACTATATATTGACACTAAGCCTTCACAAAAGCTGATGATCTTTAATAAATTACCTATTTCCATCAAGACATTGGACCAAGACTATTTATAATTCTATCATCACCATCACCACCAACACACCATCATCATTATCATCATCATCATCACCATCATTTGCTCACTTATAATTATTATTCTAATTTTCTTAGCCCTGGTATTTGTGCGAACATAAGGACTCTTTACCTCAAATTTTTGGACATTTTTTTTTTTTATGGTTGTAAGAAAATTGGTAGCCTCAGTCTATTTCCTTTTTGTTCAACTTCTGACAACTGATGGTTCATTGCTGTCTCTTCTTCATGCTTCCCACATGGGAAATTGAGCAATGCTAATAAGTCATAGTTGTGAGTGTGTGTGTATGTGTGTGTGTGTGTGTGTGTGTGTGTGTGTGTGTTTATGTCATTGTGCAATTAAAACCAAACAAGTCCCTATAAGCAGAATTTCTACCTCTCACAACCACAACCACCTTGACAAAATAAAAGCCCCGAGCCAGTCTCCTTTCCTAGCTCCATCAAAGCACATCTGACTTGTTGACAGGCCTTTCCTATGCTTTTCAGGGATTTCAACTATGTGCAGAATAAACCATGTAAACTTGATGTGTGTATTTGTCATCAACCTGGATATCTGCACCATGCTGTTGTTTTCTCTAAATGATCAGGTGTGTTTAGATGAAGTTGTTGGTAAAGATCAGAGAGGGTGCCCTGACTGGTTTGGCTCAGTGGCTAAAGTGTCAGCCTATCTGGTGTCAATATGGTATCAACTATTCTTGTTTTGTTTTGTTTTGTTTTGTTTTTTTGTTTTTGTTGTTGTTGTTGTTTTATTGTTTTTTTAATATATTTTATTGATTTTTTTTTTTTTACAGAGAGGAGGAGAGAGGGATAGAGAGCTAGAAACGTTGATGAGAGAGAAACATCGACCAGCTGCCTCTTGCACACCCCCTACCGGGGATGTGCCTGCAACCAATGTATCAATACATGTCCTTGACTGGAATCGAACCCGGGACCTTTCAGTCCGCAGACCGATGCTCTACCACTGAGCCAAACCGGTTTTGGCTGGTGTCAACTCTTCTTGGTGCTATGACCATAATGACAATAGAATGAGTGTCACCACTCGGGGGAAGAGGGCCTTTCTTATTTTGCTTTGGGTTCACATACTTATGTCCGCTGTCCAGCATTTAGGTGAGCTGCACTGCTGTGTCCGCAGAGTTTCTTGTTAGATTTAGGTGTTGTAGGTTACAGGATTTGGTGATTAATAGTCATTTAGCACAAGTGTGTCTGAGATTCTCTGCCATATGTCCCCGTGAGAAAGTTATCTGTTTACAACAGATGTTTCTATCTCAGAGACTTCACAAGTACATACAGAGTTAAGAATCCAGAGATTCCTGGATTTTCCCTGATGGAAACTGTGACATGAAGAGGAAACCACACAGGAAACCAGCCCAAACCTCCAATTGCACGTGCTGTTGGGATAGTCCTTGTGTTCAGGGTCCCTGAGCATCCCCTGGTGGACACAGCATTTTCTGCAGGGAGGTTTGTGTCTGGGCTCACACTGAATTACCCTCACTGTGTGTGTGTCTCTTACACAGTAATACACAGCAGTGTCCTGGGATTTCAAGCTGTTCATTTGCAGATACAGCATGTTCTTGGCATTGTCTTTGGAGATGGTGAATCGGCCCTTCACAGAGTCAGCGTAGTATGTGCTACTTCCATCCTCATTAATGTGTGAGACCCACTCCAGCCCCTTCCCTGGAGCCTGGCGGACCCAGTTCATCCTGTAGCTACTAAATGTGAATCCAGAGGCCGCACATCTGAGTCTTAGAGACCCTCCAGGTGGCACCAAGCCTCCCCCAGACTCCTCCAGTTGCACCTCACACTGGACACCTGCAAACACAGAGATAACCTGGTCAGGAAACTCTCACACATTAACTGTATCTCTCACTCATATCCACTCACATACTCAGTGACTCTTCTTCTCCATAAATTAACTCTTAAAAGAGCCGCAAGAAAAATCCAGCTGAGCCCAAACCCCATGGTGAGTGGTCTGTGCTCAGTCCTGATCAGGGAATGGGGGGAAGGGCTTCTGTCTCAGAGCTGAAGGGTCAGGGCTGGGCTGGTCTTTATGAGCAGAGGGGATCCAATTTGCATGTCTGCCTGCTATATAGGGAGCTCTGGGTTTTGACACTGACATAGGATATGTCCTGAGTGTGACATGTCTAAATATACTGTCTGTTAACGATTACTTCCCATATATTGGCCTGTGCCCTCACCAATAGACTCAAATGCTCTAGGAGAACCATACAAGTACTTGGGAAAGAACATTTTTCATAAAAAGAAAGATAGTGGAAACTGGTTTGGCTCAGTGGATAGAGCGTCAGTCTGTGGACGGAAAGGTCCCAGGTTTGATTCCGGTCAAGAGCATGTACATTGGTTGCAGGCACATCCATGGTAGGGGGTTTGCAGGAGGCAGCTGGTCGATGTTTCTCTCTCATTCATGTTTCTATCTCTCTACCCCTCTTCCTTCCTCTCTGTAAAAAATCAATAAAATATATTTTTAAAAAGAAAGATTAAATTGTGTAAATGAGAGATGCCTTTTATAGTAACTAGTAATAACCCAGATAAATCAACCCTCACAACCCAAGAAAAAAGTAAAATTGCAGGAGAACCATGTTCAGAAGACAGAAAGTTTCATCTGACATCATTTCCTCTATAAAGTGATCAGAGGATAAAGGAAGACCAGAGTGTGAGCCCAGAGACAGTGAACCAACTGCTGTGGAAGAGAGGAATGTTTGTGTGGGTCACTGGGAACCAGAAGTAGAGACACAGAGCTCCCAGATCCTCTTCCTTCAGGGGAGTTTGGTGGTGGACTTGTAACAGTTGCACTGCCTCCTTTGTGGTGTTTATTCCCTAGTCTCTGTTGTAGATCAAGTTTCATACATTGGGATACAGAAGAAAATAATCATGATCAGGAGGTGTGTTTAGGTGAAGCTGTTGGTAAAGATCAGAGAGGAATTATGTTTAAATTTTGGACATTTGATTATGGAAAATTTTGTTTCAAATCACTGATATGAAATAACAGATATAAATAAAATCATTTTTTCTGTCCATTGATTACAGAATGAATAAATCATTCAGATAACCTCCCATTCCTGGAGCTGATGTATCTAATTTCTTAGAATACTGGTCAGTATTGGCTATTCTGCCTTGTATTCATTATCCTGGTCTGTGTCCATGAAAGCATGTGACATAGTTCTAACCTGGGAGCAGAAAAGCATGATGGGCTTTCCTGCTTCATCAGTAGCTCATTTCAGAAGCACCATTTGCTTCTTCTCAAGTTCCTACTCAAGTTTACATGTAGTCCTTGGCAGTGCCTTCACTGTGTCCATTAATGATGGACATCCTCTTTAACCTGAAGTCCCTTCACTGGATGGACCATGGGCCCAGGATATGAGTTACCATGGATGGGAATTCATCAAATCTGAGCAGACGTATCTGTAGAATTTTCCATTTATTGTGTTGTGATTTCTTCATTGTTTACCCAGTTCAATGTGTCTCCTTTTTTACTGAAATAGCAACACATAATATCACAGAGAAGTTTGTGTCTGGTCTCACAATGACTTCCCTTCACTGTGTCTCTAGCACAGTAATGCATGTCTGTGTCTTTGGTGGTCACAGAGATTAGCTGCAGGGAGAATTAGTTCTTGGACACGTCATTGGAGGTGGGGATTTGACTTTTCATGGAGAGACTGTTGTAAGTGTCTCCATCATAATACTTGCACCCCATTCACTCAGTCTCCTTACCTTGGGGCTGGCAGATCCAGCTCCAGCAGTAATTACTGGCGATGGAGTAACCAGACACAGTGCAGGTGAGGGAGAGGGTCTGCGAGGGCTTCACCAGTCCCGGGCCTGACTCCTGCAGCTGCACCTGGGACAGGACACTTGGGGACAAGGAGCATCAGTCTTCAGTCACCTGCACTCACAGCCATCCCATGACCCCGGTCTGACCTGTGAGACCTTCACCTTGGGGGGGCTATCACCAGGCATAAGAGAAGACCCAACAGTCTCTTCTTCTAGACTACAGCTCTGCCTTCCCACAGACCTCAGCCCTGTGTGAGGAGAGAGCTGTGAGGCTGCACAGCCCACTAGAGGATTTACCCTGGAGCTTGAACAAAAATTTGCATGTGGGGCAGCACTTTTCTTATAAGTCTAGGGATTGAAGTTAGTCTGCCCTTGTCATTCTGAGGATCCTCTTTGGGTATCTCTTCCCTTAATCTCACTCAGCATGTAAGTCAAGGACAGGGGAATAGCTGGATCATGAAACACATTGGAATTAGGTCAAAATATGGCCTAAACTTTCTAAGCATAAGAAGAAATGGTGGACTAGATGAGTATGTTTCACTTTTAATTTTTCATGCATGTTTAAAATAGAATTAAATTGAATTATAATTTGTTCAAAAATTTATGAATGTCACCTCTCTTAGTGTGTCCATAAGTTTCAAATTTTATATTATAACTAGAAGCCTAGTGCACACAATTTGTGCATGGATGAGGGGTGTCCCTCAGCTCAGCCTGCACACTCTCCAATCTGGGACCTCTCAAGGGATGTCTGACTACTCATTTAGGCCCAATCCCACTGGCATCCCTCTCACAATCCAGGAATGCTGACTCCCAACTGCATGCCTGCCTGCCTTCCTGATTGACCCTAACCCCTTCTGCCTGCCAGCCTGATTACCCCCTAACCACTCTCTTGCCAGCTTAATTTATGCCTAACTGCTCCCCTGCCAGCCTATTTGCCTCTAACTGCCCTTCCCTGCAGGCCTAGTCAACTCTAACTGCCCTCCCCTGCAGGCCTGGTCCCACCCATCTGCACTCCCCTACAAGCCTGATCCCTCCCCCTCCAACTGCACTCCCCTGCAGGCCTGGGCTGCCTCCCTCACCTGCCCTCCCCTTCAGGCTTGATTGTGACCAACTGCTCTCCCTTTCAGGCCTGGTCCCTCCCAACTGCTCTCCCCTGCAGGCCATCTTGTGGTGGCCATCTTGTGTCCACATGGGGACAGGATCTTTGACCACATGGGGGCAGCCATGTTGTGTGTTGGAGTGATGGTCAATCTGTACATAAGTCTTTTATTAGATAAGATAGAGGCCTGGTGCATGGGTGGGGGGCAGCTGGTTTGCCCTGAAGAGTGTTCTGGATCAGGGTGATGGTTCCCTTGGGGTGTGAGGTGGCTTGGGAGAGGGATCTGTGGTGGTTTGCAGGTGAGCCACCCTGCCCCCCCCTGGGTAACCCCAGCATAGGCTGGAAGTAGTTATCTGGGATTTATGTATCTTCTAAATGATTGAAATCTTGAGTGGAGCCAAACCTCCATGCTTGCTCCATGGTGGCAGCCATTTCTGTTGGGATTTATGTATCTTCTATAATTGAAAATTTGTAGCTTTAAGAGGAGGCCAAGGCATGACAGGACTTCAAAAACCTAGCTTTCTCTATTGCCAGTGGCAACCCAAGCCTCCTGTTCTTTCCAGCTCCATGGATGCCACCATTTCTGTTTAGATTTATGTATCTTCTATCATTGAAACTTTGTAGCCTTGAGTAGAGGCCTAGGCCAGCAAGGGCAGGCAGAAAGCTTGGCTTCCTCCATTTCCAGGGAAATCCAAGCCTCCCTCCTGCTCTCTGTGGCCATAGCCATCTTGGTTGGGCTTACTTGCATATTCATTCCTGATTGGCCTGTAGGCATGGCTTGTGGGCATATTTGGTGGGTGTAGTGGAGGTGTGGTCAATTTGCATATTACTCTTTTATTAGCTAGGATTTCAAACAAATGATTTCTACTATCTTGCAAAATATTAAAAGTTATAAACATCCACTATCAATATCTTATATATTAATTTATGATGTTATTTTGACCTGTGAAACTACCTCCCAAACACAGGTAAATAGGACATTCTTGATATTGGAAATTTTGTGACTTTGTATACAAACTCTTCCATATTTATGAAAGAGAACCCAAACTAGTTACATCAGAAATAATCATAGTTTTAAATGAAGAAAAGACAAGAAATAAAAGCAGTGATCATGCAGGTGTACAACTCAGAATCATTCATATGTTGAAATGATGATGGAAGCAGATTGACCTATTTTCTCAATCTAGAATTATCAGTGTTGCCAGGGTTCAGAGGGAGCTGAGTAAGAGAATTCTTACTATATAATTTATCACAGGAAATTACATTTCAACACTGAGAGGATTCACTCATCCCAGCCTCCCTATACACTTCCCTTGTGAAATCTCTGTGGTTACAGCATGCGGGGTTCTCCTACATAATGTAATATGACCTTAATGTGTAATTTATTAATTCTTCCATCAGACATATGATTTGCCAATGTGACATCTGATAAGGGTTTAATCTCCAAAATTTATAGGGAACTCATAAAACTTAATAAAAGGTAGATGAACAATCTAGTTTTTTTTTAAAGGCAAAGGACCTAAATAAATACTTTTTCAAAAGTGGACATACAGAAGGCCAAGAGATACATGAAAAATGCTCAAAGTCACTAATTTTAGAGAGATGTAAATCAAAACATCAATGAGGTACCATCTCGCACATGTCAGAATGGAAATACAATTTTTATGTGTATGTTTGCATTTTCATTTGTGCAATGGAATATTTGATGGGGAAAATGTCTTTAATTTTAACCAAGGTTAATTTAACAATATTTTTGATGATTCCTGTTTTGTGTGATTTTTACAAAGAACTTCCAAAAAAAAAAAATGCTGGGCCTCCACTGTCCATGTGGATGGGCTACAGCAGCCACAGGGACTGGAGCAGGTTCTGGTACCAGAGGGGAGTGCTGCTGGGAAACTACCCATCAATGTGGATGTGACTGTGGGACTGGGGGAAGGGAGGAAGCTGGACTTGATTTGAGTCACATGATAGAAACGTGTCTGATGTTTATGGACAGAGAGTTACTGGTCATATGGACTTTATCCCTCCTCCAGTAAAGGCCCCGTAGGAAGTGCAAGGAATGATAGAGAGAGCTTATATCATTATAGGAAATACCAGAATAATTATGAGCAGTGTCTTTTGAAATAGAAACCTTAAAGATTATGCAGGCAGGGGTTAAGAGTAATATGGAAAGCGTTCTTGCAAACAGGTGGGAAGTTGATTCCTGTTTCCTACAGGCACATTCTCACAGTTCTCTGTCCTAAAAGGTACTTCTCACATGCATGGGTCTGTACTTGGATCGCTTTGGGGACATTACCCACATGGTCACACCATGAATTACCTAAGCTGAATAATTCATTGGCTCTCATTTATGAAATCCCTCAACATTACATGGAAGAGTGTATACCCCTTACTGGAGAAGCCATGGAGATAGTGTGTCAATATGAGGAGCCTTCATTTATTTAGACCAGACCTCTATTTCTGTCCATAATCATCATCACCATCACCATCATCATCATCACCATCATCATCATCACTATCAATTGCTTACTTATAATCATTTTCATATTTTGTAGATATGGTGGTTATCCACACACATTGTCTTTTTATCAAATAATAAAAGCAAGAAATTTCTCTTTAGATGTCATTGGAAATTGAAACCACAATGGACACACGTAAAAGTTGATACAAGGCCTTCCAACCAGCTTATGATTTTAAATAGAGGAGATATCCCTTTTAGGACAATGGACCAGGACCAGGACCCTTGTTCAATTCTATGGTCATAAGAACCCTCATCACCACAACCACCATTTTCACCATCATTTTGTTATTTATCATCACTTCTCTCATTTTTTTATAGAAGTTGTTTTTGTACCCACATAATGACCTGTTTTCTCAATATTTGCTTAATTTTTGTAATTGTTGAGTAAAATAGGTAGCCATATTTTACTTTATTTTTTATTTATTTTTTAATACATTTTATTGATTTTTTACAGAGAGGAAGAGAGAGGGATAGAGAGTTAGGAACATCGATGAGAGAGAAACATGCCCTTGACCGGAATAGAACCCAGGACCCTCCATTCCACAGGCCAATGCTCTATCCACTGAGCCAAACCTGTTTCAGCTTATATTATTTTTTGATTGCTTGTTGGAGACCGGGTGTAAGCTGACATGGTCCTTGCACCTGAAGGGATTAGCAAGGCTGGTCCCCTACCCACACAGTTTTCCCAGACTTGTTTGGATGATGGTTGTCAGTAGAATGAGAGTAACCTTTGTAGAATGAGAGCAACCTTTCATGGCTTACTAAGAAGTCTGTAACTATTTACTGAGATTTGCTGTACTGAGAATCTGCCTGATTTGCTGTACTGAGAATTTGTCTTTCTGCTCTGTCTCTCCCTTAGAGATTAAGAACAAAGAATACATTCCTCTTGACAAATCTCCTGTTCAGTATTTTGTGTATAAAAGGCATTATGCAGTTGGTTCTCCTCTCCAAATGCCAGTAAGAGGTTGAATCTACCTAAAGCCTGGAAGAAGAATTTCTTCTCCTCCACCATCACCGAGACAAAATAAAAACCCTCAGTCAGTCTGCTTTCCTGGCTCCATCAAAACAGGTGTGATTTTCTGAAAGGCCTTTTCTGTGATTCCCAGAGATTTCAACTATGTGATTAATCAACATCCCATACTCCTTGGTATGCGTTTTCATTATCACTCTGGTTATCTATAACAAACTACCATGGTTCCCTCTGGGTCTGCCTGGTGTCACCCATTCTTGGTGCTATAAGCATGATGAGAAGGCAATGACCTTCCCTACCCACTTCTTTATTCTCTAGCTTTGAATTCATAGGATTCTGTTGCCCACTGTCTAGAACACTTATTGTGTTGCTGGTTGGCTGGGACCCTGAGCTGTGTGAAGCTGAGCTATTGAGTCAGGAGAGACTCTTGTTAGATTTAGCTGATGTAGGTTAGAAATTTGATGATTTGTCATTTGGGCTCAAGAGTCTCTGAAAGACACTCTCTAACTGCTGTCTCCATGGTGACGTTGTCTCTATTCACAGTAGAATTTCTAACTCAGAGACATCAGATGGAAGAGTAAAGTCAGGAATCCAGAGGTTCCCTGAGGGAAACTGTGACATGAAGAGGAAATCACACAATAAACCAGCCCTATCCAGCCCAACTGCACCTGCTGCTGGCATGGCCCTTCTGTTCAGGGACCCTGAGCATCCCCTGGTGGTCACAGCCTCTCCTGCAGGGAGTTTTGTGTTTGGGCTCACACTGCCCATAACAGTCTGATGTACAGAAATTCATGGCCATTTCCTTGGCTCTCTGGCTGTTACTTTGCAAATACAGCGAGTTCTTGATATTGTCTCTGGAGATGATGAATCTTCCATTCACAGAGTCTACATAGTATGTGCTCTCACCATTAGCAGCAATATCACAAATCCACTCCAGCCCCTTCCCTGAAGTCTTGAACTCCTGTGGACTCAGTTCATGTAGAAGTTCCTGGAGGTGAATCCAGAGGCTGCACAGGAGAGTATCAGAGACCCCCCAGGCTTCCCCAAGCCTCCTCCAGACTTCACCAGTTGCACCACACACAGGACAAGTGCAAACATGAAGACATCCTGGTCAGGAAACTCTCACACTTCACTGTTTCTCTCACTCATATCCATTCACATTTGCAGTGTATCTTGTTCTCCATAAATTATAGCCTCAAGGAAACCCAGCTGAGCCCAAACCCCATGGTGAGTGTCTGTGTTCAGTCCTGATCAGGGAATGGGAACATCTGAGGATCCTGGGGTTGGACTCCTGTCCCAGAGATACAGGGTCAAGGCTGGACTGGTTTTTGTATGTCCTCCTTCTATAAAGGAAAGTCTGGAATTGAACTCTGAGATAAAATACATGGTTCCAGAGTGAGTGTGATGCATCCAAGTGTGCTGTCTGTGAAGAATTATTTCCCACATCTGGAAATATGCCCTTCCTACCTGCTCCTGGAGACCTGTACAAAGATCCAGGTGAGAAAATTGTTGTACACATAAAAAAGAGAAAATTATAAATGACTTATGGCTTTGACTTTCATCAGTAACAATAACCAATATAAATCAATTATCACAACCCTAGAAAGTACTAAAAGTGCAAAAGGTTCATGTTTAGGAGACAGAAAGTTCCATCCAAACTATTTCCCCTATAAAGTGATCACAAGATAAAATAAGACCAGAGTGTGATCCTGGAGCCAGTGAACCATGTGTTGGGGAGAGATGAGCATCTGTGTGGGTTCCTGTGAATCAGAAGCATGAACTATAGAGACACAGACAGAGCTCCCAGTTCCTATTTCTTCAGGGAGGTTTGGTGCTGGACGTGTAGCAGCTGCACAGCCTCCTTTGTGGTGTTTATTCTCTAGACTCTGTTTTAGAACCAGTTTCATACATTAGGGTGTATAACACTATTAATCATAACCAGGTCTATTTAGGTCAGTGGTTCTCAACCTTCCTAAATGCTGTAACCCTTTAATACAGTTTCTTATGTTATGTTGACCTCAACCATAAAATTATTTTCGTTGCTACCTCATAACTGTAATTTTGCTACTGTTATGAATCATAATGTAAGTATCTGATATGCATGATGTCTTAGGCAACTCCTGTGAAAGGGTCATTCGACCTTCCAAAGGGGTCGAGATCCGCAGGTTGAGAACTGCTGATTTAGGTGGAGTTGTCAGTAATGGTGTAGGAGTACTTAACTTTACATTATGGAAATGTTGTGATTGGAAATCTAATTGTAAGTATAGAAAAAATGTCTTTCTTATTCTTTCCTGTGACCACCGCAATGTATGAGAAACACCTGATAATGAGACCCCAAAAACGTTATATTTTCCAGTCCAAATAGCCCCTCTGTTCAATCCAAGGGAGAAGATAGATATTCTCAACAAGGGTCTATTGTTTCATTTCCCTCCTCCCTGCTGTTTTCAGGGATACTTCACTCCAGTGAGTTATTTTTTTTTTTCTGATTTAGACTCTTTAAATTTTCTTTTCTTTTTAATTATTCTGACAAGGACCTCTTGTTTTGAGGAATAGAAGCAGTCACAGGGGAGCCCTTGTCTTGGTCCTGATGTAAGAAGAAAAACTTTGACATTTTCACTGTGTGGCGTGATGTCAGTTGGCTTTTCAAATGTGACCTTTAGTACACTGAGGTCCATCACTTCTTCACCTAGTCTGCTAAGGATTTTAATTCTGAAGCAATTTTTAATATTAAAAACTTCATTCTATTTCTATTTATATGATGTATATTTTATCCTTCATTGTGTGTATGAGGTGTATCACAGCTGCTGGTTTACATACGTTGAACCATACTTGCATGCAAGGATGATATATCTTTTTAGATCCTGCAAAATGATCCTTTCAGTGTAGCATTAAGTTTCCTAGTATACTGTTGAGGTTTTTGCATGTATGTTCAGCAGGGATATTGACCTGTCATTTTTGTATGCCTTACTTGACTTTTATATGAGATTAATGGTCACTTCAATAAATACGTGCTCAATTTCTGTAATGCTTGGAAGAGTTCAAGAAGAGTTAATTTTAAAATTATCAATTCTTATTTGAAATTCTGGTAGAATTTACCATTGAGTCTATTTGGTTTTTGGCTTTCATTTGATGGAAAATTTCCACTATTATCTCTTTTTCTTTTTTAATTTTGTAGCAATCTAGCAAAGTTTGGATCAAATTTCTAATTTGAGCTCCAAATAAGTGGGCTGAGAAATACAACTGTTGAATTCTATATGGTGTGGTTAATGTTGAAATAATAGTTGTCTGCAGACCACATATTTATGCCATATGGAATCCAAGAGAATGAAATATAACCACATTTTCTTTCATAGGATTTATAAAGTACAGTGTGTAATGAAATGAGTGGTTTTATATCACTGCACATGTGTGAATGCATGTCTTTTCCAGAATTAAAATATGCTACTTTGTGAATGCGTGAATGTGTATTGTGACAGTGTGTATGACTGCATGTGTGTGTTTGTGTGTGTGTGTTTGTGTGTGTGTGTTTGTGTGTGTGTGTGTGTGTGTGTGTGTGTGTGTGTGTGACTGTTTGTGATTCTGTGTTACCTGAGCAAATAGCAAGAGAATGGTGTGGATGCAGGGGTTCCCTGGATACTTCTCATCTTCCAACATGCTCCTGACACACATCTCACCACAGTGAAGCTATTGTAGAACACCTTGGATCCAGGAGGGAAGGTGGAGGAGGAGTTCAATCATGCACATCCCAGCACTCAGGGTCACCTGTCCCCACTGTGAGGCTAGCACAGCTTCCTCGTGTGGAAGGATGTGGGGGTTCCTTGTATTTGGTGCACTGAGCTGACAGCTCTTCTGGGGTCAATGTGAACTCAGAGAGGATGGGTGAGGTCCCTGAGACCTGACTGCACTCAGGCCTTTCAGCAGAAGTAGGGCCCTGTGATCTCCCTGCAACCAGAAGGGAGAGAGTACACAGAGTGTCAGACCCAGAGGGAGGCTGTGACCCCTGAGAGATGGATGCAAAGCTGTGCACACAGCCCAACCCCAGCAACCCACCTGTGGGGTTCACACTCATCAGTGAAAAACAGAAGCATAGTGAAAAAAGTCACTTAGAATTTGTGAAGGAGCCTTGGTTAAGGAGAAGCTCCCACACTGCCAGTATGTCACGTGAAAACAATGTCCCTTCTTTCTTTGTTGTATGTGGTGAGAACATAGAAAGAAAATGGTCCCTGGTTACAGTTGAGAACTTGAGAGGAAATCCCTGTGCCCAACAGGAAGCCCCTTCCTCCCCACCTACCTCTGCCCCTGCTCCTGGGGTTGCTCTCTGTGATTTGGGTCCTGAGCACTCCCTGGTATTCTGAGCACCCCCTACAGTCCAGCGCTGATGTCTCCTTCAGAGAAGTTTGTATCTGGGCTCACACTGACTTCCCTTCACTGTGTATGTTTTACAGCAATAGGCCACCGAGCCCTCAGCTTCCAGGCTGTTCAATTGCAGATGCAACATGCCTTTGGTGTTGACCCTGGGAATGGTGAATCGGCCCTTCACAGAGGCGGCATAGTTTGTGGTACTTCCATCAGGATTCATTTGGTGTAACCACTCCAGCCCCTTCCCTAGAGCCTGGTGGATCTTGCTCATCCAGGAGCTACTGAAGGTAAATCCAGAGGTTGCACAGGAGAGTCTCAGAACCCCTACCCCCCTGGGGGGAGGCATCAAGCTTCCCTCAGATCTCACCAGCTGCACTCACACTAGACAAAACACACATCCTGTGAAGGAAACTCTCACACATCCACTATTTCTCTCACTCATGTCCACTCACATACTCAATGTCTCTCATTCTCCATAAATTACCTCTTAAAAGAGCCACAAGGAAAACCCAGCTGGGTCCAAACCTCATGGTGAGTAGTCTGTGTTCAGAGCTGATCTGGGATTGGGAATACCTGGGGATCCCTGGGCTGGGCTTCTGTCCCTGAGTTTCAGGGTCAAGACTGGGCTGGTTTTTATGAGCAGAGGGGACCTTATTTGCATGCCCCCCTATTATATAGGGTGCTCTATAGAATTAGATACAGACATTAGGACATGGTTTTATAGTATAACATGTCCAAGGATGTTTTTTATTCAGAACTAAGGGTCCAGTGCATGAAATTAGTGCACGGTGGAGAGGGGGCGTGTTCCTCAGTCTGGCCTGCACCCTCTCCAATCTGGGACCCCTCAAAGGATGTCCTACTGCCTATTTACATGGATCAGGCCTAAACCAACATTCAGACATCCCTCTCACAATCTGAGACTGTTGGGTCCAGCCGCTCACTTGCCTACCTGTCTGTCTGATTGCCCCTAACCACTTTGCTTGCCGGCCTGCAGGCTTCAAACTGCCCTCTGCCTCCAGCTTGCTTGCCCTCAAATGTGCCCCTGCCAGGCTGACTCCCCCGAATTTCCCTTCCCACTGGCCTGCTCACCCCCAAGTGCCCCCCTGCTGGCCTGCTCAATCTTAACTGTCCCCCCTCACTGTCCTGATCACCTCCAACTGACACCCATTGTTGGCCTCCTCACCCCTAACTAGTGCCCCCCTGCTGGTCTGCTTACCTCCAATGCCCCCTCACCAGCATGATCACCCACAACTGCTATCCCATCAGGGCCTGATCAAACCCTGGTGACCCATACTCCCAACCCTCATTTTTTTCTTTTCTTTTCTTTTTTTTTTCAAGGCCTCCTTGAGTGGAGGCCAGGACTGGCTGGAAACAAGTATCAGGGATTTATTTATCTTCTCTAATTTAAACTTTATAGCCTTGAGTGGAGGCCAGGCCAGGGCGGGTGGAAAGCTTGACTTCCTTCATCTCCAGGGTCAACCCAACCACCTAGTCTCTCTCCAGCTCTCTGGCTGCCACCATCTTGGTTGGGTTAATTTGCATATTCTCTCCTGATTGGCTGGTGGATGTGGCTTGTGGGCATAGCAGAGGTATGGTCAATTTGCATGTTTCTTTTTTATTAGTGTAGATTACTCCACATATCTTTCTCTGTGCCCTCCCCTCTGGACTCATATGCTACAGGAGACCTGTACAAAGAGCCAGGAATAATTTTTTTTTTCATTAAAAAAAGAAAAGGTTTAAAATGAGAGATGCCTTTGACAAGTCACCAGTAAATATAACAAAGAGAAATCAACCCTCATAACCAGAGAAAGAAGTAAAAGTGAAGGAGGTTCTTGTTCATGAGATAGAAGTTTCATCTGACACTATTTTCCTACAAACTGGTCAGAGGATAAGTTAAGATGAGAATGTGAGCCTAGAATCAATAGATTAAATGCTGAGAGAAGAGGAGCATCTGTGTGAGTCCTGGTGAACCAGAAGCGTGAACTAGAGACACAGACAGAGCTCATGTGTTCTATTCCTTCAGGGCAGTTTTGTGCTGGATGTGTAGCAGCTGTACTGCCTCATCTTTCTGGCACCAGGTGTGCCTGTCAGAGGAAAATGTAGGGACAGACGGACCTGTCAGAAGGTAACAGAAACAGGTGGGCCTGTGGGGAAAGGGGGCCTGAGTTTAGCACACAGGGGCCTGGGCTGCGCTGGATCTCTCTTGGTGGGAGGGTTTCCCAGATCCAGGACAAGGAGAATGCTGAGGATGGTCTCCTTGCAGAGAAAGAGGAATAGAAATAGAAAATACAAAGACTTGCAAAGGAGAGACCTCATCACTGCTGACATGTCACCTGCAAACAGACAATGTGCCTTCTCCATTGTTGTTTGTTGTCTGCGGGGAAAATATAAGAAGGAAGAACCATCCCTGGATACAGCTGAGATCTTTAGAGGAAATCCCTGCTCCCAACAGGAAGGCCCTTCTTTCCCCCACCCCCACTTCTGCTCCTGTGACTGCTTTTTGTGCTATGGGCCCCGAGCACCCCTTGGTCTCCCCAGTACCCCCTTCAGCCCAGCCCTACTGTTTCCCTCAGGGAGATTTGTGCCTGGGCTTACACTGACTTTCCCTCATTGTGTGTCCCTTGCAGAGTAATAAACTGCTGTGTCCTCAATGGTCACACACCTCAGCTGCAAGGAGAACTGTTTTCTGACCATGTCAGCAGTGCTGGAAAGCTGGGTGGTACTATGTGCTCCTGAACAGTACCTTATTCACTGTAACCCTTTCCCCAAGGGCTGGCAGATTCAGCTCCAGTAGTAACAGCTGGTGACTCAGCCCCCAGACAAATTGAGGTGAGGAAAAGGGTCTGTGAGGGTTTTACTAGTCCTGGCCCCAACTCCTGCAACTGCACCTGGGACAGGACACCTGGAGATAAGGATCATCAGTTCCTGTCAGTCACCTTCAGTCACAGCCATCCCATGACCCCGGTCTGACCTGTGAGACCCTCATCTTGGGGGGCTGTCACCAGGCCCAGGAGAAGACCTAGCAGTCTCATCTTCTTCTCAACCACAGCTCTGCCTTCCCAGAGACCTCAGCCCTGTGTGAGGAGAGAGCTGTGAGCCTGCACAGCCCAGGAGAGGATGTACCCTGGAGCTTGAGCAGAAATTTGCATGGGGGGTTAGCCCTATTCTTAAAATGTAAGGCCTAATGGTAGGCCACCATGGTCATTCTGGAGCCCCTTTTTGGGCATCTTTTCCCTTGACTTCACCCAGAATGTAAGTCAGAGACAAGGGACCATCTGGGTCATGAGCTACATTGGAATTAGGTCAAATTCCTGAGTCTAAAAAGACATGTAGGAATTGATGAGTAGGTTACACTTTTTACTCTCATTCATCTTTCAAACGGGTGTACAAGGGATTAGCATTTGTTCATATCATTTCTGAATCTCAAAATCTTATTGCATCCAAAATTCCCACATTTTAAATCAAATTTAATAAAAATAATTCATAGCTTTGTAAAAAAATGTAATTACATCCATTTGCAATATCTTATGCCTTAATTTATTATCTTAATTTGATCCAAGAAACTACTTCCCAAGCACAGTAGGTGGCACATTTGTGATTTTTGATGTTAGACATTTTGTGATTGTGTCTACAGCTTCCTGTGCGAACTGGGTATGCTGAAACATCCATCATATATAAAAACTGATGTTTAAATTTTATCCCTGCTCTTTGGCTTCTATAAATGCTTACTTGCTTAAATAATAAGGAAAATAAGACTACTCCCACTTCAGAGAGGCCATTAAACCTTCCCTGGATGAAATTATCAGTGCTGGCACCAGGACAGGTCTTTGGTAGATGTCTCAAGGCCCCAGCACATAGGGGCTCTTTAAGAACTTGCAAAGGAGGTCAGAAACACCCCATATTTGGGAGACAAAGAAGTTAAAAACATATAAATAGGGAAAATTTCTCTATGTTGGGCCCTAGAATTTGAGAGACATTTTCCTCTGGACCTGCACATAATAAATGTAACTCCATCTCTCTAAGTGTTCCTTGGTTCTTCTCCAGTTTTATGTAACAATGCAAACTCATGGACTATGGCAGAGACCCCTAACTAGTTACATCAGAAATAGTCACATCTCTAAGCAAAGGAAAGACAATAAATAAAAGTAATGATCATGTATGTGTACAACTAGGAATCATTCATATGTTGAAATGATAATGGAAGGAGTTTGACCTGTTTTCTCTGTCTAGAGTTATCAGTAATGTTGAGAGGTGAGAGAAGAAAATTCATTCCATAGAATTCTCACAGGAAAGGAAACTTCAACCCTGAGAGGAATCCCTCCCTCCCAGCCACCCTCTGCCCTTCCCCTGGGAAGCCACTGTGATCACTGCAGGGCTCTCTCACAAGCATATAATATCTTTAATGTATTATTTATTAACTAGAGACCCAGTGCATGAAATTCATGCATGGAGGGTAGTTCCTCAGTCCGGCTTGCACCTCTCACAATC